GTGAGGATTAAATATGCAATATTCGACGCAAAGAGGAATGGATCCAGTAATCTGATTTCTAGCAATACTAAAAAACTCGAGACTCGTGAGATTAGTACTCCTTAAACGCAATGGCAGAATAAAAGGTTAGAACTAGAAAGACAGTGCAAAATATTCTGGCAGACATGGAGATATGGAATGCACAGTTCATCATCTAGTATAAGAATGAAGATTGTTGGATATGAATTTAAGCTTTGAAACGAGGTGACAAAGTGATCTTGAAGCTGGTTTGAGCATCAGTACTGAAATAGTCGACTCTTAATATATTGTTAGATAAGGGTGTGACATTGTCAGGTTCTTCATTAATCATAAAGTGTGAACTTTACACTATTACAAGTAGATTATCAAAGCAGGCAAGTAATGTGGCCGAATTGTTTGGAATTGAAAATTTTGATGTTGAGTTTAATACAAAATGAATAATATTTCGGGGTAAATTTCTCCAAAGGTTCTTCACTTTTCGTAAGTGCCCCAGTTATATCCTCAAGCTTTTATTTATGGCATTCATGTCCAGGGGCGGAGCTAGAAAAAATTTTCAGTGCGAGCATAATTTACGGTCAAATTTGAAGTGTAAAAAAAAATTTCTTTATAACAAAGTGACTTGTAAAATGCTTATAAAAGTTGTTTAGGAACCAACATGGAAAGAAACACGAGACCCAAAACAGCCATGACCAAACCTTTCCATCGTCTCTTTATTGCAAAGGAGCATGATGAAACCCCGTACCGCCCTTCATTTTCCAAATTTCTTCTTCCCCTACCAGGTCCTTCTCCAATTCCGATGGAAAACAGTGGCAATTCTTTAACTGGGGCATAGGGGCAGTTCAAAGTTGAGTGCAGGCATTGGCCTCCACTCAACCGTATATGGCTCCGCCCCTATTCACGTAAATTCATCCGCGACTCCGGTTGAGATGATAAAATTGTTCAAATAAAATCTTTATTCTGAAAACTAAACGATGAATGTTCAAAAACTTTGCTACTTCTTAGGCAAGTATAACCTTTCAGTTTGATTTTTATTTTAACATCTAAATAGGCGTTTTCAATCAGGTGGGATACTGTGCGCATATGAAAAGTTAAGAACATGACTATCACACTTAATAAAGGTTAGAACCCTGAAGGAATTTATCTTAATATTTAAACATAAATTTATTGGTCAGGGATACAAGAAGTTCAAAGAATGACCAACTGCTTGTGGATTTGAGCATCAAAAAATCAGGGCACGCTAGACTTTTAGGATTTGTTTCAAATTGAAGGGTATAAAATGTTGACTGAGAAAATAGTATTTATGGAATATACTTTCTTAGCAAACATCTATGATCGTGTGTCGTTTAAGAAAATTAATTGTGAAATATGATCGTTCAATTAAAATATATATGCTAATTAATATATTTACATTTAATCAAACAAATATCAAAAGAAGAAAAGCAGAAATATAGCACTAAAAGAGACTTTAATGTATTTTTCTTTTTTAATACACCTTTTCAAACAAGCTATTAATACCTGGATGATGCATGGATATGTAAAAGAAGACGAACGTACAACAAAATTTGTTCTTCTGTATCGAGCACACCCTTAATTTATTTATTTTTTGAATTTTGTTCTGGGATGAAAAACTTTGGCATATTTATGAGATTGGAGAAGGGACCATACAAATATCCGTGGACACCTCAACAACAAGGTGTATAACTTTACAACACTTTTATCTTCATGAAGTCACTTGTGTCTTGATTCTCCAATAACTTTTTATTTTTTGATCTACTCATCTAGCTTGAGCAAGTGAGACGAATATATATACTTGTTCAATTTAAAAAGATTTTCAAATATTTTCTACGAATTGAGCATCAAATATAGTAATTAACGAATAAAATAAGAAAAAGAATTATTACCAATTTATTTTTCATCACGAAAGGTATCTCACACAAAAAGCACAATGACTAAAGGAATACAATCGATTCAATTCAAAGTCACAAATCTACATAGAATGAAACATTAGTCATTTAAGAAGTGATACCATTTTCTTCATCGGGTTCGGGTAGACCTAGATCATGTCGTCCTTTTTCAATGTACATAGAATGGAAAAGGGACAAAATATATGGAAAAATATATGATAATTAGTCAAAAGACAACATTTAATCAAAGACTAATATGATTGATAAAGGTACAAAACCACAAAAATAAATATGTTTCTAATTATTATCTAATACTATTAGAAAATTAATATTTGCTAATACTATTGGAGGTTTCAATCCATAAATCATGTAGCGAAGTCCAATTTATTTCTAGTATCTCTAGTTTCTAGTATCTCTAGGCTCGACGAATTACAACCAGATTGAATCGGTCCCTTAATTCTATTCTAACTAAAACTTAACAATCATACTGCACATTCAAACTCAAATCCACATTTTATTTCTTTTTGGCGTGGGGGAGAGGAGGTACACAACACGTGTCGACGCATTATTGGACAATTTAAAAAATTAAAACAAAAACACTCATTCATTTTCTAACACATCAGTCCACAATCTATCTCTCCACTCCCTATTTTTAAGTCCTCACTCCTTGTTTTGAAGCTTGGCTAAATGGCTTTATTCAAAATTTAGACAGTTCTGAATCATTTAAACGAAAAATTATGAAAGTAAATTTAAAACCAGCACTAAATTTAATTAAACTATAAATGCTTCTGAATCTTAAAATCGGGAACCATATACCTCATGTCCAGTTCTAGTTATATAGCCAAATTTATTTTAATTTTACTTTTTCTACACTCTCAATTAGATAAAGTTGATTTGTAAGAAAAATAAAGGTGAAAATTAAGCAGAAAAAATGGAACAGAAATTATTAGTGAAAATTGTTTACATAGACAAATTTACCCTCAGGATCGTCCAGTCACAAGCAGTGAAGTGCCTTGATTGGATCACCACAAAAACCCACATCAAAATTCCCGCCGGCCGTCGGAAATTCACCATTCCGTAGCAACTATACAGCACATTGAAGTTATATTATTGTGACATATCACAGGGTGCAGCCACAGAAGACGAAGAAGAAGCAGAGGAAGGACACAAGCACGACGGACTCTACGGCGGAGACGACAGACCAGACGACGGTGTCGACGATGTAGAAGCTGGAGAAATCCAGATTTGGAAATCGCAAAAGCGAAGCCAAACGCCGCGGCTCGAAGCTGGTGGTGAAGCTACTAAGGTCGAAAAAACTGCTCCAAGTCGGCGTCAAATACGAGGCGAAGAGCCTGGGCCACCGGAAAAACGATGTTGGGAGGGAGACACTGACGTCGATCCACCGAAAAGCGGACGCGGCCGTCGACCACCGAGACATTGCTAAATTGGCTGTACAAGCGAGACATGTCCTTATTTATATACTAACTCCTATGTAATCTTTAATTAGGGATTGATTCAATTCAAATAGATTGATTCGAATTCCATTTGATTTTTACCAATTTCTTTAATTAATTATATTTATTATGAGAAAATTTCACTTTTGTCCCCTAAACGACATATGTTCCATTCTCATCCTCAATGTATGCTTCTTGACAATATTGTCTACAACCTTTTATTTTGAAGTGTCATTAGTCGCTCGTGACACTCTTTCATCAAAATGTTTGTCACTAACGAATGTGGATAGCACGAGCTACTTTTGAGATGTAAAACATTAGACAAGTATTTCTATCATATTTTTCATCATTCGTTACAATTATAATCACCAGATATAAGTCTAAATGAAAAAATGTATTATTTGTTGACAAGAATTGAACTCATTCACTGTAGTCGTTGTGAATCAATATATCTAAAGATGTTAATTAGAATCATTAAAAGCAATTCTTAAACTACGGAAGACGATAAGTAAACAATTTATTTTTTTTCGTGGAATATTTGGAGCTCTATACTTTTGCAAGTAGTGGAGCTAGGGTCCTGAGTTTTGGGGGCAAAATGAAACAAAGTTGATAGAATTATATAAAATGACAAACTATGTAAATAGTACAAAAAGTTGGAGACTGAAAAATTCAATGTTTAAGGTTGATGATATTTTTGATATAGATATTAATTATGCACTTTTTCCAAAAAATAGGAGGGAAATTAACTATGAGAATCGAAGGCACATTCATTGTGACATATATTGGAATATTCAATAATCTTTTTTTTTTTTTTTCAAATATTGCTAGAACGATCGTCCATCCTCACCCCCATGTCTTGTCTTTCTCTTCAACTCAAATAATTTTCACCTCTCACTTGTTTTTATAATATCTTTCGATAAAGTTAAAGGCCAAGATGGAGACATAAATAGAGTAGGTATTCGATGTGCCAACCTTTTTAGCATAAACCTAATTCTAAAAGCATATCCTTTCCAAGTCACTTGATTGAATGTTAATACTCCCTATGGAGATGCCATAATTACTTGGACATGCTTATTTAGTAGAATAGCATATCAAGATATAAAGAAGTCTCACGTCTACATGATTGCGCCTTGCATCAAGGAAACTAAGTCCAAAAATGTTGTCTTTTCAAAGGGGCATTACTTTAACATTTTTTCAATAAATAAATTCTAGGTATAATTTAACAGCTTTCTCCTTATTAATACTTAGAATTAAGTTAAATGACCACATTATTTGACACATCTCTCACAATCGAGGTATATGTCCCGGGTGAATAAAATAATACCGACCTCCCCATGTAAGTGAATGTATCAACCGATGTGTCAAGGTTTGTGGTTATGTGACATGACCCTAATACTTATTTGATCATACCTAAAACTATTATTTAAATAACATATAAAGTAGAAACCACAATTATTACATGAACTTACAATTTTCTTTATTTTGAAGGAAAAAACTTGTTGTCGATTTGAAGTTCTTTGCCTCGGGTCAGCAGATGGAACACAGTCAGTGCAATGGACACGGTGATATCACGAACTAACAAAGCAGAATGGATAGGGACAGCTTCCGATGACAGGCCCCCTACCTACAATGTGGCCCTCGACGACAGGCCGCCCCACCTACGAATGGTGCCCCTGTCCATCTGGGACCACATGTATAGCATATCTCCATTTTGAATCACAAAAATAGTGAGCTTTTGTATATATTTTTGAACCACGACACAAATAGACCCGGATGCGCATGTCATTAGCACATAAAGGGAGTAGTTGCTTTCTCGGCGTAGTATACTACACCTCGCGTTTCCACCCTCTTTTGAGTAGAATGGCATACTCTCAGGAATAGAAAAATAGGCACGAATGGAATTTCTCGGTAAATCCTACGTTATACAGTAAGGTAGGTAATCATGTTTTTTTGTTTTCAATTTTGAAAAAAATACTAAGAATTCCTAGAAAAGTTTTTTAAAGTGTGGACCTTATTACCTTTCTGCTAAAAGATATTAAAGATACATAATACAAAATGACAAGATGTGCATGGGGCACACCCCTAACGGACGAGACAACAAAGCCATAATAAGTTGACAAAGTAAGATTATGACACCAAATTGACTAATGTCATTGAGTTTGGAGGGAAGATGGAGTGTCATTCTATGAAAATTATATTATTGCTACAACAAAAATAACAAGATATTTATTCCATTCAAGGATACAACTTATCTTTAAAATCATCGGAAATGCAAATGATAATTTAACAAATTTCTTAGACAGACCCCATAATTTTTTACACCAAAATGCTATAAATATTGAAGTTTGAAGGCCATTATTGCTCATTTTCAAAATTGAAATGGAAATTTTTAGTGAACAAAATTCAAGTTGAACCTCAAGAAATGTAGAAAAAGCTACTTGATGTTCCATTCCCAAGTGAAATTATATAATTTCGTATACTAAGGATGTAACATATAGAACCTCAAATTTCAAATTGTATTGTAAGACGGTGCAAGTTTGGTGGTGATCCCTACCTGAATAACAACATATAATAAAGTACAAGAGGGAGGCAAACAAGTAGCTTTAGCTCTAGATTTACATCAAGAGACGAGATGAAGAAAAACTAATACAATGGTATCCATACTTAGAAAAACAAGGAAATAATTTGTATGCAATATTGCACATGACATACTAGATTTTAAATATTTATTCTTTAAGAATGTGTAACGATATATTATCAAACAAGACATTTGGAAGAAAATAAAGGATATATACACACAAATCATATTGTCATAAACATGCATTACACAAAATGCTTCAAGAGAAAACAAGTTGTTCATTACAATATTAAAAGATTGTATTAATTGAACAATTGCAAAAGATAAATGAATCCGTTGAAAAAATAAAAAATAAAACAAAAGAGGCAAATTATATGCAAAAAGAAAGAAATGTATAAACTGGATAGTCTCCAACAACTATGCTTTTACATGAAATCAACTATGAAATTCCTTAAAAATCAAACAAAAAGCAATATTTTCTCAGTATTTTCTTCACAAGAATCGATCAAATAGAGTTTAAAGATTCAAACTGAAAAAAATGAATCCCCTTAAGATGATAAAGCTAATCCTAAAATTCACCAAGCCGATAGGATAATTCAAACATTTTGCTCGTAATTTAATACTAAAAGTGCAGCGACAGATAACAACATTACATTCGCAATTAAGCCTACATACATATCAGATCAAAAACTAGATAGATGGCAAAGAGAGACAAATACCAAAGTCTTAAAAAAAAAAAAAAAAAAAA